CATGAGTAGATCCAGAGGTTACTTCTTGAGTTTTTGACCAGCTGTTGGCACCATTGCTTCAGACTTTCAAATAAAGTCTTCAAGAAATAGTAGCTGAACTCCCTCTGACTCACTTGGAAATAGTGTCTGTTGATGCAGACAGCTTCAGTTGTGAAGATTGTGCGTGTGTTTACTCTGATTGAAAATTCCTTTAGACACTAGAAATTATTCTTACCATATGTCTGCAAGACAGTTATGACCTGTAAGGGCGTAACGCCATATGCAGCCTCTTAACAGAACATATGTGTGTGTTGTCGAACTAGATAAATCTTCCAGAAACAGGCTGAATTTCTATTCAAAATTCCTTTGTGCAGATAATCTCCAGACCTCTACATAGTTTTCTTGCTAATCTCAAATATGTGCCCTGCTTTCTTCACCAGGACTACATTTACACTGACGCTCAAGACAGGCAGTTCCTCCACTACTTCTATCGGAAATCCAAAAAGCAGCATTTTGATGTGGAACGATATAACAAGCTCAAGGAAGACCTAGCAGAGGTATGTAAATACAGTCCTTAAATAATGAGGTAGCCTCTGGGTAAAGACTTCTTCAGTAATCTCTAAGCTAACAGAAAACTGACCTCCAGGTTTGTTACTTACATTCAAAACAGTGTATTGTTTATCAGCCAGTCTGAGCTGTTTAAGCCAACCATGTGATGTTTGCCACTGACATATCAATTACTTCAGTAAGTTGTCAGAAAGGAAGATATTCAAGAATTTAATTTAAAACAAATAAACCAGTTCATCAGTCCTACACATCCATTTTTTGCATACTCTAACATGCTGTATATTTGACCATTTTAATAGAAAGGCTGCATTGCTTTTGGAGATTTACGTTTGCTGCCCTGCTGTGGTAACAACCCCGTCTCTTCCTTGGCAGGGGGCTGTCTTGCAGAGTTCAGTATTTGCCATCTTAATCCTATTCCTTAAGTAAAAGGCTTAGACTTACAAAATATGGGTGACTGGATGGAAAAGGTTGTTGTGTGCCTGCCTAGAAGAAAGTTTGTGGTCTTCATGAAAAGGTGTAACTGATCTCTCACTCATTCTTCTTCCCCATTCCATCTCTCTAGCCCTGTGTTCAATATCTCATAAAAGAAAATTGAAACTACCCCTAATTTTAGCTCAAGACCTGTGGTTCAGGGTGTCATTTAATGAGTCACATTTGACAGAAGGCTAGAAAGTAATGCTTTTTCAGTAGTCTGTGAGTATGAATTTTGTAATTGTAATTTCAGGAAAATAATACTATGAGGTGTGATCGAGTGGATGGGTGGGCAGGGTGCATCCTTCTCTCTGGCTGAATGCCCTGAGCAGTTCTGTAGACGTTCAGTATCCTCCGTTTGATTAGTTTAGTTTCTTGTGTAAGACCAATGTCTTCTGAGAAAGAAAAGCTACTTGGATGTGTGAAAGAGGAGGAGAAAACAGAGGGCTGCAGGAGGATCAACTCTCACTCTTTACACTGGCAGGCAGAAGAATCCCTGAGGCGTCTGCGCCAACCTCTGCACCTGAGGCTTCCAATCCAGGAAATCAATGACAAGGGCTGACGTTGGTTTTGTATATATTAGAATTACCCTTTGAAAGACAATATGAACATTTAGTTACACTATAGAAACTGGATATTTTTGACCACTATAGTTTTGAAAGTTGCAATAAATATCTATAAAAAGTATTTGGTCACTTGACGGTTTGTTGTTGGTTTTTTAGTATTTTCAAGGGAGCTGCTGAAGAAAAGTTCTCCAATATATTTCTCAGATCTCATGAGTAAAACGAAGGCATTCTGCCTGCTGGTAAAATGACAGGGATGTTTTACAGAACAATGGCTATCTTTTTAGTACCATTTACTGTAGCACAGCAGTAGCTCACAGAATAATTAATTTCTGCATTATTAATGATTTTTTTCCTGAAATTACTTTCCTTTTCCCTTGCTCTGTTCCTTGAGTCTGTTGGTGTAACACCAGTGGTAGAGGCTAGACTTGCACACAAAGTAAGCTTTTTAGCAAATATTGCTGGAAATATATCAAATTCCTTTACTATAAAATAATTTGTGTCACTGTTGCATTTTATTGAAAGAACTTATCAAAACATTCAAACATACATGATTTATACAAAGTTTAAAAGTAGCCATAGTAAGGTTTAATATCTATGTCTCAGAACATAGAATATGGAAAAATTTAACTAAAGCAGAGCCAGTAAAAAAAAGTTTATAACCACGAAAGTGTATTAAGACACTTTTCTCAGCCTGAGTTCTCCATTGTCCCCCAGAGTTAAGCATAGGTACCGATAATGTAAAAAAATAAAAGAAAGACTTGCTTGTAGTCAGTATCATTGAAATTACTGATGCTGCAAAAGTAACAGTCCTATGGTGCAATGTCCTGTAGTGGCAAATGCACTATCGCTTTTATGTACACAGTAGCAGAGTATGGCTGATCTCTGGGGCCAAGGGGAGGAAGAGGGTGATCCCAACACCAAAGTTTCAAGATTTGCATATGTTGTATTTTGCAGAGCTGCCTAGAGATGTCCTAGAGAGCTCTTAGTGAGTCTGGAACCTTAACATTATTTTCTTTATCCTCAAAGATGTGTACCAGGCAAGCTTACCCCAAACCCCACTGAGCACGCCGTATACGGTCTCACTTCACTACTGCTTTTCTCCTGAGAATGCAAAGCACCAGCAAGCTTTAATTGTGCTCCAAATGTAAATGGTGTGCAAGCAAAAATAAACACTTTGTCTATATTAACACTACTTAAGGAACTAAGTTCCTTTTTAGTGTTGACAACATTAAAAAAAGTCTAAAAAAGCTAAAAATTCACAAAAATAGGAAGGTGGACACTGCTGTCCACAAATTTAAAAAGCTGCTCTACAAACATAGCACCTGTAAACTGTGCTTGTTGAGCAAGAAAAGCTCATCTAATGCAACATTTGAAACGTTTTAGAAATAGTAAAATGTGCCATAGTTAGATGGCAATCAGCAAAACCTTAAAAAGTAATTTAGAATACCCATTTCCATAAAATATAAGCACCTCTTCATAATTTTGTACCAGTCAACTTTTCCCAAATTCCCTGAGATGAAGAAAACCGTAATATTAGCTTTTACATTGCTTGAAGATTTTATAAACTGTTACATATACAAACCACAATGTTTGATCCCAGATTTTTTGCAAACAATTTTGTAGAATATTAGTCTCCTGAACTAAGATGGTGTGGTTTTCACTTCTGCGGTATTAGGTTCTGGTTGTCATTGTGAAATAATCATCTACTTAGATTTTGGATGAAAATACAATTTTTTAGTTAACATTGAGGCAAAACAGGGAATCTGTTTCTTTCCTATAGCATTAATGTCTCTGCACATATCCACTTTGCGATGAGATACTTTCCTGTTAACCAGAGTAAGAAGTTCTGTGAACTCCAAGGCAGAGCCGTGCTTCCCAAGTGCCTCACACAAATCTTGAATGTACCAGGAGCCATTCACAGTTTCACGATGAGAAAAGTAACCTGTTGTAGAAAGAGAACATAACATTTTATCCAAGTAGATGTAGTGATACCACTTGAAAAATATGAGAGTTACTACCTGGTGGCTGCATCTGTAAGGGACTACTACTAAGTGTAAATATAACTTTGGCAATTATGTAATTTCACTGGAAGTAGCAGATGGGAAATGGCTTTGAGATCACTTAGAGTGCTCAGCCAAGAGGAGTGTGGTTCAGGGACTGGTAGCTTATGGGCTTGTATCTGCACGTTAGCAGAGAGCAGATGGAACTGAGGACAGGATACATGGAGGACAGCCATATAGCACAAGGAAATGAATGTATAGACCACCAGAAACCTACAGTCCTGGAAAAGAGGGGAATTGTTGCTGTCAGCAGAGAGCTCAGCAGCAAGCTTATGATGAGAATATTTGTCCTTGGCAAATTAACTGCAACCTTGGTGGTTTATTTTCACTTTTTCCTTAATGTGAGGCTCTTTCCCAGGAGAGATGTCACTTGCCAGACATGCAAAACAGATGGCTTGGAACTGTACTCATTGTTTTCACTTCAAAATTAAGAAGTGTTCAAGCTTGTTAGAGTGAAGTATTACACATCAGATGTAAAATGTTAGAACTTACCTTGTGCCACAGAGTAGCACATGATAAAGTCTGCACCAGCAGGCAGGGTATAGACACCAGCTGCATCCACTTGAGTCTCATTGACAGTGGGTTCATCGGTACCATCTGTTGAATCCTGAGCAATAACCGGATTGTCGTGTTTATCACCTCGACAGGCCTGTTGGTGAGAACTATTGTTATGCTTTCACCTTGGCCAAGCTCACCTATGCTCATGATACTTCTGACAATAACCTGAGGGGACTTCTGACCAGTAAGGTATTCCGCATTACCATGAGTCTGGATTCCTAAAAACCAATTTACTTCTCTATCAGTTAAAATACTGGTGATGAAGTCTATTGAAAACTCTGAGATTATCACAGAACACTGAGATTGGAAGAGACCTCTTGAGATTACCTAGTTCAACCCCCCTGGCTCAGGCAGGGTTAGCTTGGGCAGGTTGTCCAGGACTATGTCTAGTCAGCTTTTGAGTATCTTCATAGAGTTCCCAACCCCTCTGGGTAACCTCTTCCAGTGTCTGACAACCCTCACAATAAAAAAGTGCTTTCCTGTGTTGAGATGGAATTCCGTATGTTTTAATTTGTGCCAGTTACCTCTTGTCCTCTCACTGGGCACCACTGAAAAGAGCCTGGCACCCTCTTCTTTATTCCCTCCCACCATTTGTAAATAACATTAATGAGATTCCCCTCAGCCATCTCTTTCAAGCTGAACAGTCCCAGCTCTTTCAGCCTCTCCTCATATGAGAGATGCTCCAGTCCCTTAATCATTTTTGTGGCCCTTTCCATGACTCATTACTGTAAGTCCATATCTTTTTTGTACTGGGGAACCCAGAACTGGACACAGCAGGACAGATGCAGCTTCACCAGGAAGAATCACCTCCCTTGGACACATTGGCAAGGCAGCATTGAATAAATGCTCTGAAGCACAGGCATCATTGCATGCTGTAACAAGTATTCCTGACACAATAAAACCTTACATTTAAATTCTACAGAGACACCTAGTATTGGTTATGGACAGGAGAGAAACAAAACAAACCAAAAAACCACCAAACAAACAAACCACCACCACCAACAAAACCAACCAACAAATCAGACAAAAACAAAGTCCTGTAAGGATCAAGTAAAGTGACCTGCCTGGAAGGAAACAGTGAAGGCTTGATAGCCACCTACAGCCTGACCTCAGGCTGGGAGGGGTTAACTGCGCTGAGGCTGTACACAGCTTTCTCAAAAAATGTTACTGTCTTCTTTACCATTAAATATACACTGACAGTCAATGTGACATGGCCATAGTTTAGATTACTCTCCATAAAATTACATCCTATTAAATCCAGCTGGTATCATAATACTAACACTTGTGTACATAAAGGTTATTTTCAAAAAAGAGAAGAACCTTCATCTTAAATGCTTTTAGTGAACAGTTTTCCATACCTTCTCTCCTAAAGATGCAAAAAATTTTCTTTGTGGAAAGAATTTATCAGAAAAACCAATTTCTGTATTAAAAGAAGACACAGGTTAGTGTTAACACCACTGAATTCAGAAAAAGACATCTTACCTGAATGATAAAGATCTTTGGTTTTCCTACCAGACTCTGGCACTTGTCTCCCCTGAACATGTCTGTGATGGCCTCAATTTTGATTTGGGCGTCATATGCATAAACATGATCATTCTCACCGTGACTCAGGAACACACAAACAAAGCAGTCAGCATTACTGTGGTCATCCTTAGAGGCTGAAATAGTCAAATGGTGTTTAGATGAATAAACAGTGACCTTCAGGTTCAAAAAACCCTGTATGTTTGTATTGTATCATTTAATCTCTGATCAGTCGTTTTACCAAGGAACCCTATTTTCAGATAGCGTAACACTGCAGAGATTTGAAGGTTTGACATGGCCGAAGATAAGGGCTATAACAAGTAAAAAGAAGAATGTTATAAACTTCCCCCAGCTGCAGGTACTTACTTTCGGTTCTTAGCAACTTCATTAGTTCTCTCCACCAAAAAAATCACTTACATGGCAATAATCCTGTCAAACCCTTAGGTCCTTCTAATGTTAAACAGCTCCCTCGTGCACAAGGATTATTTTAAGTTAGATAGATGAACAGAGAGAATAGAAGAAAAGATAAATACATGGTTAGACATAACAAATATATAGTCTCCTACCTTCATAAATTTTCTGCAGTACATCTTCTGCTTTTAGATCATCAAAATGTCTGACTTCAAATCCAAGGTCTGTCAAACTATTGTTTAAACACATCAGTATTAGTAAAAATCTTGCTCAAATTGTATGTCAGTTGCTAATGATTCAGTTACTTTGCCTATAAGGAAATGAATGTTCATGTTTAGGCATTATTTCTGAAAAAGAAAACAACCAACTACTAAAGTTGATGATTTTTAACTCAAACCAGTGTCAAGTGTGCCAGCAGTTTCTGTGATTTAAAGGAATGTGCCTTGAAGCTTTTCTATTATGGCTTTCTTTGCAAAGGTTGCATAGGTGCTTGTCTGCAAAATCTCTTGTTCTATACTTAGATGTAAAATTTAGATGACTTCTTATTTGATCATGATCTCTGAAGTTTAGCTTTATAA